TATTGATATTAACTTAAATAATGTAGATATTAATCTCTTGGAGAAAGTAGAAGATTGAGTGAGATGAACAGAATACCAGGACCAGACAGATTTGTCAAAAAGGTCAACTGTCACATACGTTAGCCTCTTTCTTTTGTGTTTTCTAGGTCAATGAACAGTAGGTAGGAGCCAAGAACTGGTTAGTTACTGATGTTACTCCTATTTTTAAAGAACATGATGAGACTTCCACTGGAATTATTGGCCAATTACACATCTATAGTGGAAAAATTTCTAGAGCTTGATAAAAGAAGCTTTAGAGAACAATTTAAGGAAAAATATCATAGAATACAGCCAACATTGATTCACAAATGGTAAAATTTGTGTTACTAATCTGTTAACATTTTTGAGGTAGTTATTTAGACTACTTGGTGAGTTGGGCAAATAAATAAGTTATAAGAAATGCAAGTTATCATAATTTAACGTATAACTTTGATTGGAATAACCTCAGCAGTGTTATAAGAGATAAGGATCTTGGTAAAACCAAATAATTAAAATTAAACATTCCATACTTACATTTATTTGCTCAACTCACCAAAACTTTTAATTATGTAAATATGAAACCTTGCATTTTAAGTATTTAATTTTAAATATTACACAAGTGCCAATCATTCATACATAAGGATCTTGATGCTTTGGTTGATCAGTCTTTTCAAGCTGTCCAAGCAGTGTGCTCTTGCTAGTGATAAGGCAAATATGATTTTGGGTTGTATTTACAGAAATACTAAAAACAAGTCAAAATAAGTTATCATTTCACTGTTCAGTCTGAGATTTTTTTACCTTAAGAAGGGCATTGAATTGTTAGAAAGGGTTCAAAGGAGGGCTACTAAGATGATACCTGGGATGAATAAGGTTGTCATATGAGGACAGGTTAAGATCTCTGAAGTTTACTCTCTTGAAAATAGAAGAGTTAGAGAGGATATGAATGAGGTGTATTTAAGATTGTTAAGAGAGTCGACAGCGTTAATGCATCATCTTTTTCTTCATACTTAATGGTAAGAATGGCAGGATAAGAGTTATCTTAAGCTAAGCTAACAGGGTGGTTTCCTTTGAAACGGGTTGCCGTTAGATATGGTGATTACAGTAAATTTAAGTGAGTTTACATGAAGTCTTGGTGATTAATTAATAATACGGGCTGTGTTTTTTATTTTAGTAAAGTTTAATTTAGTGAATGGACCAAAAGACCAACTGTTACCCTAAAATGTTATATGTTATCTGGACAATGGGATATTCTGTAGAGGTAGTTAAATTTTGAAAAACAATGAGAGAAAGCAAAAGGCTGTTATTAATGGAGTCCAGCCAAACTGGACCCTTGTTACCAGTGGAGCTCTTCAAGGTGCATGAAGAGCTTAGGATTTTGCTTTTCTTATTTACATTAATTTGATAGAGAAATAATTATCAGTTTACTGATGACATTAAATTGTTGAGCATTTCTGACTGTAATGTGGATGTTGAGGTACTACTACACGTGTCTTGAATCAGTTGAAAAGTTGAACATACATTTGGCATCTGACGTTCAATTATAGCAAGTAGAAGGTAATGCATTATCATTACTTGAATAAGTAACTTAATAAGTAGAGTATTCATTCAACAGCGTAACTAAAGAAAAGGATATTAGTACAGTGGCAGAAAAGTTACTTAATCCACCAAGGCTGTTGCTTTATTTCTAGTAATAAAGCTAATAGGATTGTAACGAGTATATAAACATACTGATTATAAGTACAAGTAATTGAAATATTGTGTCTAATTATGTCGAATCATTATTATTTTTGATTAATTCAAAGTTTATCCAGCTTAATAGATTAGTGTTATGACTCACAAAGATACACTAATCAAAATTAGTACTTCCAATTATAACAACTACCTAAGTCTCGTGTGAGAATAATCAATTGATATTTATTCCATTAATATTTTTGAATACCTCAATCAAATCCTCTATAACTTTTCTTTATTCCAGAGAAACTGGTGAAACCCACAATTAACAATTTAATCCGTTTTTCTGTTCCTACTAAACAGTTGAAATATAAATTATAATATCCCTAGGCTATAGTATAAATATAATGAAATTTTTAAAATGGAAAAATTACAACAACGAATTAACGACTGTTTTAAGTTACAACAGTAAGATAAAAATATGCAAAGAAGCAGCCTATATTAACTATTTATTAGTAGGGAACAAAACTGGATACACATTCAATCCTTCTCAAACTTGAACTAAGAAGTTATCAAATTAAATTTTAAGCCATTAACTAAGGCTACGACTCGTAGTAATAGTATGAGCATGATGATGATGAAGTATGTTTCGCTCCATAACCCTTAATAGTAATATAATTATGAAACAAAGTCAAAATATGTTTTCATTAATATTATTTTACATATTTATGCCCTATCTAATTCACATAAAATGGTCTGTTACTAACATTGATCAGTAGAAATATATTGAAACGTCCTTTGATGTTTATAAAATAACATTCTTTCGTCACAAACTTACTTAACTTTAACGTCATACGCCCTCTAGTTAATATCTAAATTAAAACATGGAAAATACAGCTTACAACGATAACAAAATTTAAGGACAACAAAAAACCTGTTGGCTTATCTAGATTGTTCCAACTACTAACCAAAACTTTTAAAAAAAGCAAAACAAAAAAAACTCATAAATTCATCCCTTACCATTTCTGTATTTATCTAGCCTTCCCTTACACTCGATTAAAATATACTGCATCCACCACATCTGAAGTCTGAAGGCGACCCTTTCCAGTTTCCATAGGCCGACCACTATGCTAGAAAAATAAAAGTATCTTATCTGTTTAAGCCTGGCCAAGAAGAAAACTACATCTTCTTGGTTTTCAGTCTCTTTATAATTGTCACATTTTGATATTTTAATTTACAGGTAAACCGTGTATTAAGCAGTTGGAAAAATAATAGTTGCGCATGCGTTGATTGCTAATACCAAGCGTAATGTTATTGTCGGGAACGGGCAGGTCGATAGATATGTGTATGGTTCGATTGTGAACATAGTTTTCTGACGTAAGTTTAATAAGAGTACGATTTTTTCCTTTCGAGTGGTGGTCTGTTTTTAGTAAGAAAAATCGTAGATTATGCTTTAAAAAAGCTGTAGCTGCGAAAGACATTTCGTCCTTCTTGTTAAATTCAGACTAGTACTTATTATGTACATATTTTCTGTTACTGTTGGTAGCAGTTAATACTAGAAATAGAACTGAACTTCCTTGCCTCAAGCCATAGATGATAGAGTACTGAGTAGTTGTACGTGTTGCCTTAGTATTTTGGAATTTTCAGCCAATACTAAATATAATTAACTTTAATTAATTACTGAGTAATGTAAATGTATGCATAACTTAATACTAATATAATAGTAATAATATTGTTGAAATTAAGGACGTATGATTCATAAAATATTAGTCTTTCTAGTAATAATATTAACGTTATTAAAATGCAAAAAATCACTAATTGAGTAAATCACTAAATGACGAATGTGAGTAATATACAGATCTTGCACGTTTACTGCACAGAATTTTACTCTTTTAAGTTTTAGTCCAGTCTGGTCTTTATAATTTTATGCCTTGTCATAAATCTTTGTTTGCCTATTATGAGCATCTTGGAAATTATACATGATAAAAAAAAGTTTGTGGATTATTCCTCTCCTATGTGGAAGTTTCTTAGTATGAATGTAAAGTCCTGCTTGTTGTTACTTATCAATCGGGTATACTGACACATATTTTCATGATGTAAAAAACAATTATTTGAGTTTCTCACGGAGTAATGTAACATAATATACATGTACGTTTTTGCATTGAATACTATACTTACGAAATTTTATATAATATATAAATACAATTAATAATAAACAAAACATCTTTTTTGTTTCTGTACGTTGGGTATTTGTATCCTAATGTCATCTTTATATTAGTAAGGAAAAGCTATTATATGTACTTGTTTTAAATTACATGTTAAAATAAATCTATATAGCAATATTTAAAAGTTGGTTTGATAAGATAAAGTGTTCAATTAAAAAGTTTTGTGGTATGTAAGAAAGAGAAATGATGAATTTTATTTTTCCTAGACACAAGTGTGAAATGTATATATTTTCAAGGATTTTGTTCTGGTTATTGTCAGTTGAGATGAACAGTGTAAATATACGAGTCTTTGGTACAAATTTGATTCTAGCTTTTTTTGCTCTAATCTGAAAAAAAATTATAATTTTCATATTGAACCCAGGTGAGCTCTTGGTTTTCTGACACATTTGATCAACATTTATCATTTGGCTATTAGGAAGTTGTGTTCCTTCATGGGGGGTGGAGGGTGGAGCAAAATAGTGTGAAGTTGTGAAGTGAATAAAAAATTCATGTACATATGCTGAATGTGTTCCCCCCCTGCAGGTGCCCGTGCCTTTGAGCACTCTGGTTAAAGCAATACTTTCAAGATAGTTTGAACAGTTAATAAAATAAAAAACAATGAGGAAAAAAACAAAAGACTCGTTTTCATATTATGAGAACTTGATAGAAAAAATTCTTTGTCACACTCAATTGCAAAGGCTCAATGTCTTAATTTCAGTATACCCATTATTATTACAGTAAGCTCTAATTTATCTCTTCAGCCTCATGGTAGCTATGATATATAGAAAGTTTGTTAGTTAATAGTGTCATATGTTGCCATAGGAGAATGGTATTACATTGATTTTGCTTAATTGTAATCTTTTCATACCAGTGTTGTTTTTATAGATGTGATCTTATAGATCTATTTATATTATGCATGAGAAATGGACATTTATACACATTTCTTTTAACTACAGTAACACGGTATTACTTGTTCTTCTTTAGAATGTTTGTTTGCAAACATAAAGAACATTGTTGAGCTAGTGTGGTATGAAAAGCTTGTTACAAGATGAAATAAAAAAACTTCAACAGATACTAATATCTTGGTTTTATTTATATTAGGAAGTGTTATAAGCTGCTCGAGTGTTGATGTGGCCATCAAAGGTAGTTATCAGCACACTTTGACTTTGGGATTAACTTTTATCACACTGAAGTGGTTGTATTCTACATTCTTTCTTCTGCATGATTTATGACACTTTTTGGACAAACTGAATAGAAATGACTGGTTAAAAACAGTGCCTTTTCATGTGACTTAAAAGTGAATCTCATATTCATATATATTTGTGATTTTACTCTGTCTTTTTTTTTGATGAACTTATGTAGAAAAAAATTACAAATCTATTGTGAATTTTTCTTTTATATAGTCAGGACCATGTCCTCAGATGATGGAATGATGCAGCCACCATCGGGTGGTCAGATGCAGGCTTCACCACAACAGATGCATCACCCCCAGCCATCACCCCAACAGCAACAAGTTTATCCCTCTGACAGTTTGCATATGCTTCAAAGAGTATGACATTCTTATATAATTAATGCACGAATTTTATTTCTCCGACAAATCCTTTAAGCCATATCAAAATAAAATCTTAGTTAAAGGATTTTACTGCTATGATTTTCATGGAATTAGTTTCGTTTTTTAGATCCTGAAAGTACATAATACGATCCGGAACCGGTTTTGTCTTACAGTTATTGTTACCACATCAATTCCGATTTGTTTTCTATTAGACAATTATTTCAGTTGGTAAGAATGAAGGACAAACATGATTGCTTGTGGGAGGAGGGTTTAATTAAGTCAAGCACTTAATACTGTATTCAGGGTCAGCTACCTTTTGGAGATTTGTTTGGGAAAGCTTTGAGGGATGAGCAGTTATGCACAAATTATGAGGAATTAGCAGTATTTCTTCATTCAGATGTAGGCAGCTGTTGACACATTAGCATATTATTACACACATACGTAATTTCTCTTCAAAATAATTTCCAAATTTCCTACTTAAATTTTGTGCAGTCATCTTGTTTAACCGTAAACTGCACATATATGATGTAATTCCACAGTTGCATGGTATTGGATGTACAAGGTGTTTATTTTTGATTAGTTTGTTACAGGGATGTGAATTATTGTAAACATTTGACATCAACACATGCTGAGCTACAGTATATAAATGACTAACTGCTGAGATAGATATTGAGTTGGCACAGCATGGCCAGATGGTTAGGGTGCTTGACTCGCAATCTGAGGATCGTGGGTTCGAATCCCTGTCCCATCAAACATGCTCGCTCTTTCGACTGTGGGGGGCATTATAATGTGACAGTCAATCCTACTATTCATTGGTACAGAGTTGGCAGTGGGTGGCGATGACTAGTTGCCTTCCCTCTAGTCTTTCACTGCTAAATTAGGGATTGACTAGCGCAGATAGCCCTTGTGTAGCTTTGCTCAAAATTCAAAACAAACTAAACCAAGATATTGAGTTTTCCATTAGTACCATTTATACAGACAATACCATAGATGTCAATCTGTCAGTACCTGATTGGATTTGCAGCTCAGCATGTGAATATCACCTGTCCATTGTTTATGAGTGAAACTTGTTTTATTGTGTTAATAAAACACTCCAAGACTTGTTAAACATGTATTTATTGAGCTTGTTATGTTACAGAACAAGATTGTTATAAAATGCTTACTTCGAGTGTACCATAATGGCAAATTTTGTAGTTTGTCTTCTGTTGTGGGTGGTTGACTTGTCTGAACAGATCTCTCTAAATTCAGAATTTAGCCTATGTGCTTGTTATGTGATACTAAACTGAACTTGATTAGAGTATCATTACAATTCATTTTACTTTAATATTTGTTTGGATTTTTAAAAGGACATGTGCTTTCTCTACCAAGAGGTTTACAAGTTGATTAACAGAAGTTTGAGTAAACACATTCTAAATAATGATACTGGTACTTAATAAATTAGCTGCTAAAATAAATCAGTATGTTAAATAATTTTATCCATCATTCAGAAAATAAGTACAGTTCAAGTTTATTCGTGCTCATAATTTAAGACACCATTGACAAAAGGATGAAGATTATTAATAATGGCACCATTTCATGACTTATGTAATGGATCGGTTGATACGTTTACACCCACGTCATTATAAAAATGGGAAAAGTTTGATCACCTAACGAGAAAAAAAAACATTCCAAATGTACCACCTATCCATTTTCATAAAAAAACAAAAAAATAGCAGCAGCAACCAACAGTTAGCACAAAAAAACAAATGATAGCTATTACTGGAGAACCAACGAATAGACCAAGTAGCTATTACTGGAGAACCAACGATTAGACCAAGTAGTTATTACTAGATAACAAACGAATAGACCAAGTAGCTATTACTGGAGAACCAACGAATAGACCAAGTAGCTATTACTGGAGAACCAACGAATAGACCAAGTAGCTATTACTAGATAACCAACGAATAGACCAAGTAGCTATTACTAGAGAACCAACGAACGGACCAAGTAGCTATTACTGGAGAACCAACGAATAGACCAAGTAGCTATTACTGGAGAACCAACGAATAGACCAAGTAGCTATTACTGGAGAACCAACAAATAGACCAAGTAGCTATTACTGGAGAACCAACAAATAGACCAAGTAGCTATTACTGGAGAACCAACAAATAGACCAAGTAGCTATTACTGGAGAACCAATAGAATAGACCAAGTAGCTATTACAGGAAAACCAACGAATAG